AGCCTTCTCTTCAGCCACAGCATTATACCACCAATCTCATCGATATCCACACTCTCACATACTATCGAGTCATTGCACCGAGCTATAGACTTTTGATTTATTCTTTTAGTTCTAATCAATGCGACGACAGTATCTCATGCGACAACTCTTAGAGATGGTAGTCGAGAACAAAATGCTGGCAGCACCGAAGGTGGCAATTTATTGTGGATCTATGGGACTGGTTTTGCAGAGAATGCTTTCAGTGTAGTGCCATCAACAGCAACATCAAATACTGTACAGTTAACTCGAGGAAATGATGTCTACAACTGTCAAATGCACATCGAAAAAGTGACCGATACTCAGTTAACGTGCTACACTCCACCATTGTCTCCTGGCGAATATCTAGTTAGAATCAAGGTTCGAGGCAGTTTAATCCCATTGTCTCAGTACAGTTATCCATATTCGACTACCTTTATATCAAGTCAAAGTAACACACCCCGTATTACTAAAATATCACCGGCATCAGGTTTACCACAAAGATTGGTTACATTATATGGAGACTTCAAATCTCGATGTTACTTACGTGATTTTGAGGGTTGCTCAGGAGCACATGTACCAGTCATTTCTCGGTAGGAGATATTTGATTTGACTATTCTTGCTATGCTTCCAACAACAATTCATCTAGAATATACATCGGTGGTCAATTGTGTAATCTGATCGATACAGACAATGCTGACTAGTAGATTTATCTGTATGTAATAATATCAAATTATGATCTTTTGATGTTTAGCTATTCCAATCTGAATTATACTTATCTTCAATGTCGTTTTGAGAGCAATGAAGTCGGTAAGCAAGTAACATTTCTTTTGTTTGCATAATAGCCATCCAAAATGTGTCTCAAATATCTTTTAATCGGCAGGTGTATTCAATGTGACTATGCTTATTACAAACGAATACGGTCGCTCATCGGCCGATACAAGCCTATATCGAATGTCCAGCACTGGTCAACTGTACAATTTTGAAACCTATGCTAGTTTGTGTCTTTTTTCTATCTATCGCTATGGTTATTTCAATTATTCTTCATTCTTACTAAATAGGTCTAACGAATGTCTCGTCCAGCAGTGGAAGTATAGAAGGTGGCACAATCCTGACAATTAACGGCGACTATTTCAGTACGAGTAGTCGGTATCCATTGGTCGTCAATGTTGGTGGTGAACCATGCACTATCCTTAGTAATAATCTGACTACAATTCAATGTAAAACATCGATGATGCCTGTCAACAGCCAAAACCATTATCATGGTAAGTAGATTGTCCAATGAAGTTAATTATTTCATAGTCATTTGTAGGAGGTCGCGGTCTGCATATCTATTACCAATCTGGTTTTATTGATTTAGTGTGTTAAATACTAATTATTGTTCTGCTATGTAGTACTCTATTTGTTTTCTTTGGTATTGTCTAGAATAATTTGGGCAATGCAAGTCCTCCAATACCCAGTGTCAATGCCACTCAGATATGGGCCGGAGAAGCCTCTTTTTCCTCTGACTTTTCATCTTCCACTACAGTATGGTTCATAGGATTTCTGCGCGTACCAATGACGGCCATGTTCAAATTTCGATTAGAAACCAATTACTACGCTGCTTTGTACCTAAGCAATGATGAAAATCCAGATGGCAAAGTTAAAATTGCAACTCATGCTGACACAGAGTCACATGGAATTATGCTACTAAATAATACTAAGTGAGTGAAAGAAAAATTAATAGAAGATCAGTCATCTTCATGGATAATTTCATATAGCTATTACATGTTCTGCGTGGGCTCCGTCTACTACAGCGGTAATTTCCGTTTATCAATAAAAGCAGCAATGCAACAAATCAATTCGAAGACAGCGATTAGTTCTCCAGGTACGAGTGAAATTCAACAAATTACTATTGGTGGCGATATTACCAGTGAATATCAGGTAACTTAAAGCTTGCGATCAGAAGTGTTTCTAACTAACAAGATTATAAACCATTCTATAGTGAAAATAATACTCGAGATGACGAAAATGAAACATCTAGAACAGATAAATACTATTTTAAAAAAAGCTAATTTTTGAATTGGTCAAGCTCTATACGTCATCGAATAGTAATGAATTCAATGTATCTATTGTTTTCCGGAGTCATCATCCATATGGAGAGACGCCATTATAACGAAGTTGAAGTGAAATCGTTGTTTTTCTGGTAAGACAATCTGGAATTCTGGTCATCTTCCTTGTAGTAGAATTTTTATAGATAAAAGACTAGTTCTCATTCCTGAAGAAAATTTTTACATTTCTGAGTTAGATATTAGACAGATCTGGCATTAACTCGGCGCTTTTGATGAGGAAATGACTAAGTCGTGAAAAAAGAGTGTAGCCACGGAATTTCAAGACATGGACAAGGTTAAAAACAGGATTTTATCATGATCATCAGAAGTTTACCTATCTATTATAAACTATGGGCAAGTTCAAAAAATCTTAAATTCGGAAGTAACGTTCTACCATGAAATATCAAAGATTTTTTAGGATTAAGACAAGAACATAGAAAGGTCCTGACCATCTTCCTATTGCTTTTAGATCAGGATCTTATAATAACTACATTGATTCTTCATCGAAAAAATATTTTCTTATTGTCCATTAGAAGATTTCTCTAGATTCTTATAAGAATGCTACCAAATTTTTTGATCGAATCTTCGCAGGATCTTTTTTGAGGATGTGGATGTGGATGTATTAAAATTCTACCATACTTGCTAGTTTCAATTCGGTTTACAAAATATATACGTATTTCTGATATTTTTCACAGAGAAGTTGATTTGAAAACAATTGTTACAGAAAGATTTGTATGTTAATATTTTTTTTGCCTAAAAATAATACTAATGCAATAACTAAACTGATATTGACAACTCATTTTATGAAATTTTCAATTTTCCTCTTGAGAAATTCGTCCATCTATTTCTGGTAAGATCCTACTTAACATTGGTAATGAACTTCTCTGGAATTAAGGGATTCAAGGATTTTGAATGAATTCTTAACGAACATGTGTTAAGATCTTGACAGAACCATTGTATGCATTTTAGTTAAGAAGGAATGGCATGTGATCCTGATTGAAAGTTTGAAATTCTCACCAGTTTAGAATTCGTATTGGTCTTACTTTATTTATTTTTAGGATCTTCATCTGTTTTAGTTTTACTTCTTAAGATGATTCTACCGCAGGAGCCTTGAATAACTCCTAATAAATATTGATAAAGTGCAGTATTATTTTTTTTTGTTATTCTCGGCAACATCTTGAGTAGAATTGAGAGTGAGTCTTGATGCGATTTTTCATTCCTGTTCGATAAAAAAAAATCAGAGTGGGAACTTGATGAAATTCTAAAAAGGATCCTGTTTCACAATGATACATCTTGCAAACAAGAAGCACCAAGATTTGAAACAGAATCTTCAAGAGAACTTCACAAAATTGTTCAAGCTCAGGTTCTTGGAAAATTCTTTCAGACTCTCTGAAGAAACGAATAAAACAAAAAGTAGAGATAGTTCATAAATTGTTGCTCGATAGGAAAACTACGTTTAAGTTGAATTCAATTGTATGTATGAAGACCGATCTGAATCGCATAGCTAAGAATATTCCACTTCTCTGCTTTAGAGTATCAACAGAACAATTTTCTCACGACTGTGTTTTGTTATTGACTAATGAGTCTTAATAACGTCCCAATTTGTTAGCTAGCTATTGCTCAAGTGTTCTCTTGTGTTCTAAATTTTTGAATTTAAAGAGATGATTCTTAAACGATCCATTCTTTGATATAGCGTATTGTCTACATGACGGATTCGTCGATCGATGGAATACCTGAAGTTCAAGATGTAGAAGCTGTTTTTGAAATATTTCAAATTGGATTCGAAGGAGTCTACACAGGTTCGTGCTTGCTCATGCTATTCTTTTTTTAATAGAATCTTTGATTCATCATTGATATGTAGTACTGCTCGATGGTCCACCCCAACCAGAAGTTGTTCAGGAAGCTCTCAATGATCTGCCGACCATTTTTCCTTTATCCGTTACGGTCACACTTGTAGGCACCGCATACCGAGTGATATTTCCGGTCGAAATGGGTGACGTTCCACTACTTACTGTGATATCAACAGCATTTAGTCGTCCACAGGCCGCTACAGAAATTGCACGAGGTGTCGCATCGGGTTTAAAGATAGCCTTTCGACTCAATGGAGCAACAACAAACTACCTGGATTTTCGAGAGGATGATATTAGTGAAATGATACTAGAAGCCGAATTTATGAACTTGTTCAATATTCGATGTCCACCATCATTGAACAATCAACAAGCAACATCGTCTATTGTGTATATAAATGAATTTGAAACCTCAAGTCCATATGATGAAACATTCATCATTACAGATATGGCTTTCTGTGGTCGTAGAGCGCTCACAAACTCAAACGAGTACCTTGTTAATGGAAATATATTGACTGCCGAATATATGTGCTTTGCTTATAAGATTACCACGAGGAACCCGATTATTATGAATTTTCAAGTTCAGAGTGATGAAGATCCACCAGTTATCGAAAGTATACAGCTGAATCTAAGAGACGATTCACGTTGGCATTATAAATGCATTAATCTACGTGAAATGTTCGAAGAGTATTCTCCTGTGTACTTGACTGTTACTTCGTTCCTAATCAGTCAAATCTATCTCAACTATTATGTTCCATCAAGTGTCATGATTGATACGGTCACATTGCGTAACCTCTTTCCCGTTGGATACGAAGAAGACAATATGATTATGTTAACCGATCAATCATCTATAGGCCTGTGTACATTTCCATTCTTGTACAACGGCCAAAATCACTCGTCATGCATACTTGATGAGGATAAAATGCCCATTTGTGGTTTGACTCCGAATGCAAAGTTTTATTGTCAAAATTCATCAATCGAAGGCGTTCGTCGACTCTTTCCAAAATATCAGTTGCTCGATAATTCATTCCATATAATACATTCACCAATGAGTCATACTATTGATATTTCCTTTCGATATACGGCATGCATGTCACCATCATTGATCGAAGTCTTACCTCCAACTGTAAGTAAATGATGTTCTTTAGCTAACCATTATGAAACCATTTCTTTAGGTTGGCCAAGTAAGCTCAATTACAAATGCATCAAAGCCAGTCGATGGACAGTATTCTATAATGTTCAATGGACGACTATATTATCCGATTCCAGCGAAAATAACTGCATCGAATTTGGCTAATCTATTTCAATCATTTTCCGATTTTGGTTATGTAGTTGTAGCTCGTACAGGAGAGTGTGCTCAGTATTCATACACGATTCAATGGTTAACCAATGGTCAACAACCACTTATCTCAATCGCAAATTCGTCTGAAGTAAGACCAATTGATGCACCAATGATCGTTTCTTCAATACGACGTGGTAGTACTATTAATGTTTTCTATAATCTTCCGAATGATATACTACGTACCTATCATAGAACTCCTCAGGTGAGGTTATTTCTATTCTTATGATTTTCTTATTTTCTTGTGTTCAAAGGTGGAGGTACTTGTCGGTGGCTATCCGTCTTATTGTTCGAACGAGAATAATAATTGTGAATTTCAATGGTCAATCGACCATACACCTACAATTATATCCGTTGAACAGAATGGAACAATGGTAACTATACATGGTACTGAATTTAGTGACGAGCTAGAAGCAAATATGATTTTGATTGGTAAGAATGGCTCATGCGACATCCTATCAGCTAATGCGACATTGATCATCTGCACCGTTGTCAATGCACCATCTGGTCGACAGATTTTACAATTGAACATTGTCGACAAAGGGCTAGCATCAAGTAATGAAAGTTTCGTAGTTGACGTACCACTGTTGATCACTTCATTTTATCCAACTGGAGGAAATGTCGGTGGAGGTTACCAATTGATAATCTTCGGAAGTGGATTTTCATCGAGTGCCTTAATTATGCTTGGCGAAAACTTATGTGGAAATTTGACTGTTGTTAATTTTACTTCAATCAAATGTACTGTTCCTCCAAGTAGTAGTATGAGTTTGATTCGAGTAACGGTAACCGTCATTGATGGCTTGAATTTAGCTACTGCATCTCAGCAATTTACGTACAATACGACGAATACGCCGACTATTTATGCTATTGATCCAACTTTTGTGACGATGCGTGGTGGGCTATTGAACATTAGTGGCACCGGATTCGGCAACGATGACGTTTCAGTTTATATTGACACAAGCAGTGCTCGTGTTTTAAGCTCATCAAACAATTATATTCTAGTGAATTTGAGTGCGCTACCGCCTGGGCTTTATCCAATTACGGTTCGTACTTCAATGGGTTTTGCCGGACCTCTTTTTCATATTGAATACAGATTCTATGTACAAGAAGTGTCACCTCAAATTGGCTCTGCCTATGGTGGCACCGATGTTTATGTTCAAGGAGCGGGCTTTGAAAATGGGACAAGTATTCAATTCCGTCATCGAAACAATCGTCTCTTCCCTTGCAATATTGTTTCAATTCAATCGAATCAAATTCATTGTCAAACAGTATCTACTACTGGTCAAGTGACCATCACATCGAATGGTATTCATCCGACATATGGCTTTGGTTATGCTTGGTTTCCTAGTCGTGAAACAGTGCAACAAGGAACCGTTGTTACCTGGTATTGGAGTTCAGTCGAACTTCGTTCACCAGTTTATTACAAGATACAACAAGTAACAAATGCGTATAGTACTGAACCAGTACCAAACGGATTTGATTCTGGTTCAGCGACATCATCTGGTAAGCAACATCTAATCGAAATTACATGCATGCCCTTATCTCG